TGCACGGCCCTGCCCTTAAGGGGAAAGGGATCTCTGTGTACTGCATCCCTTAGAAGCATCCTCACAGCCTCCCACTGGATGCTACAAGGGCAGTGTTTGCGATCAGGTGAAGGACAGAGAGATCCACTTCTCCCCTCGCCTCCCAAGGAGAGTGTTGCGCAGAGACGCACTCCAGTTGCTGGGAACAGCATGTGCATCTCTGCACGGCCCTGCCCTTAAGGGGAAAGGGATCTCTGTGTACTGCATCCCTTAGAAGCATCCTCACAGCCTCCCACTGGATGCTACAAGGGCAGTGTTTGCGATCAGGTGAAGGACAGAGAGATCCACTTCTCCCCTCGCCTCCCAAGGAGAGTGTTGCGCAGAGACGCACCGGCCCCTAGCCGCCAGCCGCTTTGAGTGGTTTGTGGGGTTGTGGCAGGCAGGGTCCTGCTTGAGTTTCCTGCTGGGCCACCAGCTGCTTACAGTAAGTGCCTCCCGGCCAAAGCCTGCACCTGGAAACTTCTTCTGCATCCCCACCCCTAGCCCCAGGTCACAACCCCTCCTGCATCCAAAATCCCTCCCTGACCATGGCTCCCCGCTGCACCCTGCCCCAGGCCACAATCAAGGTTCATGAACTGGGCTTGTTTAGTTTGGAAAAAAGAAGATTAAGGGGGGACATGATAGCGGCTTTCAAATATCTAAAAGGGTGTCACAAGGAGGAAGGAGAAAATTTGTTCCTCTTGGTTTCTGAGGCCCAGCCGCTTTGAGTGGTGTGTGGGGTTGTGGCAGGCAGGGTCCTGCTTGAGTTTCCTGCTGGGCCACCAGCTGCTTACAGTAAGTGCCTCCCGGCCAAAGCCTGCACCTGGAAACTTCTTCTGCATCCCCACCCCTAGCCCCAGGTCACAACCCCTCCTGCATCCAAAATCCCTCCCTGACCATGGCTCCCCGCTGCACCCTGCCCCAGGTCACAATCAAGGTTCCCTTTAATTTTTTTTCAACCATGTAGGGGGCTGGACTCGATGACCTCTCGAGGTCCCTTCCAGTCCTATGATTCTATGATTCTATGATTCTAAGGTTTCCTTTAATTTTTTTCCATCCATGTGTGGAAGACATTTTGTTACGTGCACCAAGCCAGGCACAGATGCACACCACCAGTACAAATCCATGCTGCTGGCTGTGAGCTAGGGATGTTAAGTAGCGATTCACTTGCTAGTCGAGTAGTCGACGGAATTTCCATTGACTAGTCATTAGGGAAAGGCTCACTTCCAGATCTCAGCACAAGGCCTCCCCAATTCCCCAGCTGCCACTCTGCACTCTTAAAGGGACAGAGAAGTGGCAGCCCGTTTCGCGGGTGTCTCTCACTTTAAGAGTGCAGAGTAGCAATGGGGAAAATGGTGGAGGGGGATTGTGCTGAGAGATCCATGGGACCAGCTGCCGCTGATCTGTCCCTTTCAGCATGCAGAGGCGCAATGTGGGGGAGGTTTGTCCTGAAACCTGGTGGGGGACCAGAGATTGGAGTCAGCATCTGTCCTTTTGAGAGTGCAGAGCAGCATCAGGAGGGGTGTGCGTGATCGAGTAGTTGATAGTGCTACCTGTTAAGCTCCTGCTTATCAGGTAGTCGACTGCTCGTTCACTGTGGGCAGCTCTGGGAACTCTGCTAATCATCTAGGTGGCATCTGACTCTCCCCCAGGCAGCCATCCGAGCACTCAGCTTACAGGGAACAGTGATCACAACCCCTTCCTACGCACAAACTCCCTCCCAGAACCTATATCTCCACCTGCATCTCAAACCCCTAACCCAGAGCTCCTTCCCTGCACCCGAACCCCACCCCAGACCCTGCACCCTCTCTATTAATATAGAAAGAGCAGCCCCTGACCACTGGCATCCCATCAAAAATTGTCCACCCCTGGTCTAGCCCAGAGAGGAAAACAGGGACAGTAGGCACCAGATCTACATAAGGCCCTATAGCAGCGCAGTCAAATGAAAATACTTTGGTTTTCAGCCAACATGTTTGTTTTCAAATGTTTGGCCGTCAGCCTCAACGAGAACTCACCCACCAGGGTTGCAACTCCCTGCTTCACAAACTATGTTTTACCAGAAGCCTGACGTGTTGTAACTAGACCCATAAATGAAGCAATAATTCAGCGCACTCCAAACCCTTCATCTTGGGGAACTGAGCTCAGCTAGGTCAAGTTGACAGTCACAGTGCGTAAGAAGCAGAAAGTGCTGACCATATGACCACCCCGCCATACACGGTTCCAAAGGACCATACCACTTAACATGTGTCTCTGGCCTTTCCTCGTTACAGCTAACAATCACAAGGGAGGCAAATGGTGGTTTGGTCCAAACGCTTCCAGAAAGTTTTTTTCCAAGAACTAACGCCATAATCAGAGAAAACATGGCTCCCTGCCATAATAATGTTTAAGGCAAGAGCACAGAGAATGACACACAGACTGTTTTATAAATTAAGGTAAGTTGTAAGTATGCATTTATACAAGTACACTTGTAAATTCTCACTGCTTTACAACTTTCATTTTCAATATTTACCCACAGAATACTGGTATCCTCCTTGCCTTCAACTAGACAAATACTACTATATAATTGTATATTCAGTGCATGTCCACAGTCTCCAAATAAGAATTTTATTCCTTTGTAGAAGAGCTCACAAAAGCTTATGATCCAATAATCTAATAATTCTATTAGTTTTTAAAGTGCTACCAGACTCCTTGTTGTTTATACTTAAGAAAAGTTCTCTGAATCTAAGTTCAAAATGTCCTAACACTGTTTGCTATGTTCTCCACCCATCATCATGCATAAAGTGTTCAACTGCAAGCCATCCAGATCTGTGCTGGATCGTCTGATTCTATTGCAGCTGTAGAGCGCCAACTCCGAGTTTCCCGGTCACTTCTGTAAACATCTTGGATTCTCTTAATCACTGCAGTTGTTCAGCATGTATTACACTTAAACAGCTGTTACTCCTAGGCCACACTTGGGGAGACGAACACGCATATGTCTGTTTCAAATTCTAGAGGAATTACTGGAAAGGATTTTTCTCCAGCACATTTGCAAATGTTTGTGTAGGTACCAGCATCATGAAAACAACTCTGAACACTATAAACTATTTTTTTTTCTTACTTGATAGCCACTCAGTGATATTAATTACAACCTACTGTTTAGCCATAGCACTAGAAGAAACACACTTCCATGTGGATTTGTTGAATTATTTCTTTCATTTTTTTTCATTTCTTGTTATGAGACTATTACATAAACTGTGTGCAAATTTCTTTGTTTTGTCTACATTGCTGTTTAAGGAATCTCTACTTTGTACTGTATATAAAATAAAATGGCACACCACATCTACCTTTGACATTATATTGATGACAATGGAACTTCTTACCAACCAGTGGGTAAGGGTTTTTCTTCTTAGTGACAGAATCCTCTGTGTATCATGTGGCCAAAATTCTCAGAATTAGGAGCCTAAACTTAGATACCTAAATTCATATTCAGACACCCATACAGAGGTGTGCCAAGTACCTGTGGTCCCATGCTATCAGAGGCAGAACATAGCTCTAACAAAAGGCACCAGTAGCCCACATCCTACACAGGATTGCCAGGTGTCTGGTTTTCAACTGGAACATCCAATCAAAAAGAGAAACTGGCAGCACCAAAACAGCACAGCTAAGAAATCTAATTACCCGCCATGTGTCACTATGCCCCAGTTGAAGGCTTCACATCAGCTCTTCCCAGTCTGACACTGCAGGTGGCAGGTGAGTCCCAAGGGAGGGGGAGTGAGTGACATGAGCAGAGGTGGACAGTGAGCAATGGAGTGGAAGAGACAATAGGGACGGGGTTGGCGGCTCAGAGAATGAGGCGAGGCAAGGCAAGTCAGGGCAGGACTGGGCCCCCGGGGGAGGGGCACCGCAGAGGTGTTAGGTTTCCACGGACTGGAAAGTTGGCAACTCAGTTTATGTGACTGGTTCATTTTTTAAAGCATTACAGCATCCATAGCCTGGTAAGCAATAGATTCATTTGATTACAATATTAATGAAGGGCTGGAAGGATGGTCTTGTGCTTGGACACATGAGATCTAGGCCCAATTTCTAGCTTGATACATTACGTGAAAGCGGTCTTGCAAAGTAGAAAATCACTATCTCTAGGCCTCAGTTCCCATTTCTGTAAAATGGGAACAATTCGCCCTTCCTCCTGCTCTTAGGTGGGCTTACCTATTTAAACTGAGAGCTCCTTGGGGCAGGGAACCTCACTCCTACCATCTGTCTGTAAAGCACAGGCTCCCTCCACATTACTGTGATACAAATAGGAAGAGAGATGCTTGTGGGGCAGCGACTGCCTTTTTGCTCTTTGTACAATGCCTAGCACTATCGGGTCCTGGTCTGTGACTAGGGAGCCTTGGCTCTACATTAATTATTACGAATAAGGAAAACTCATCTGCCCTTGAAATCAATGGGAGCTTCAGAATTAGGTCTCATTTACTTTCCTTTTGATACAGAATTGCAATAACCCTGCCTGATTTTAACAAGATGGAGTATTTTGGCCCCTAAGAGCTGCAGACTGAATTCAACTGTGCTCCACTTCTCAGGGACAAGTTATCGTTTTCATCAGCACACAGTGTTATGAGGCACCAGGCACCTACATCACTGGATTTACATCTAATACATCTACTGCTTGGTCGCACCCCTGTCAGGTGATCTGATTTTCCGAGGTACCGACTGAGCATCCACAGGTCCTATTAACTGTATGTGGAGTTGCAGGTCCTCTGCACCTCTGAGAAACAGGCCCACCACTCTTCACTTCCTGCTCTGGTAGGTGTTGGCCGGCACTCATCTTAGACCACACAAATTCTGAAGCGGAGAGCCTGTTATCTCTTTAGCTGCCCATAGAGAGCCAGGCCCTCCTATGGTATCTGAAGGAACAATCACATTTCTCCATGCAGTGACTGAAGCCACGCCCAGACTTCCAAGAGTTCTGGAGTGTCGCAGATGCGACTCTGTGGGTAGCTCACCTGTTTGCTGGAGTGGACGCTGTTTTTGTTCCTGTTGCTATCCAGCAGTCCTCTGCATTTGCCCAGTGCTGCCAGATCCTTCATAATAGAGTTAAGCGCTTCCTCTTCATCTGCAAAAGAAGAGGATGAGTGTAGTGTGCCGAGAAGCGTCCACCCGGAAGCACTGTCTTGAACACACAGTACTAGCAGAGGATAAAAACGCAAAGCGGTCGCAGCAGCATAGATGCTATTTTTCAAGCTATGTGTTATACAGCACAGACTTCCTCCCTTAGCTCCCCAGCAAGGAGGAGGATTCCCTTTTCCCAATGTTTCCTAGGGTATTCCCACTCAAATCTGTGAAAGGGGCACATTGCTTCAAAATATTAGCATTGCGAGCATGATCCAAAGCTCACTGAGTTAAATGGGAGTCTTTCTGCTGGCATCGGTGAATTTTGGATCAGGCTCTCATTGTCCCCCATCATACACGTATCTATATCCTCATTTCTTTTCAAAGGGTACGTCTACACTAGCCCCCTCGTTCAAACTAGGCAGGCTAATGTAGGCATTCAAAGTTGCAAATGAAGCCTGGGATTTAAATATCCTGGGCTTTATTTGCATCTTCCCATCCGGTCGCCATTTTTAAATGCCACTAGTCCGGACAAACTGCCCACGGCTACACGTGGCAGTTAAACGGTAATTCGAACTAAGTCCTTAGTTCGAATTACCTGTTACTCCTCCTGGAATGAGGTGTAACAGTTAATTCGAACTAAGGACTTAGTTCGAATTACCGTTTAACTGCCGCAAGTAGCCGTGGACAGTTAGTCCGGACTAGTGGCATTTAAAAATGGCGACCGGACGGGAAGATGCAAATAAAGCCCAGGATATTTAAATCCCAGGCTTCATTTGCAAGTTCGAATGCCTACGTTAGCCTCCGTAGTTCAAACTAGACGGCTAGTGTAGACATACCCAAAGATACTTAAGGCTGCATTCCTTAGATCCTGCGACCGATGGCTGCTGGGGGAGGGGAGGGGACTATAGACGGGGCAACCAGACTTCTGTCCATGTAGGCTGGAAGGGAAAGTGCACAGAATCCACTAGGCACAAGGAGAATAAACTGGATGACTGGGTAGAGAGAGGCATTTTGACAGATCTCAGTCTGAAATCAACCTGCTTCTTTTTTAGGTGCCTATACTTACTAGTACATCCTCCAAATCCAGCTTCAGGTGCCTTCACTGGCAAAAAATTCTAGCTATTAAAATCAGACAGACTGGTCAAGTGTTGGATCTTGTAAAGCTGTTTAAAATAAGCGAGTGCCTCCAACAAACACTCAACCTCCCCCACCAAGATTCAATCACGGCAACCAAGAAAGAAACTGTATTATGAAACCCACCCAACTGTGTAGGTGCGAAGGATCCAGCACACAAAACGCAAATTCTATGAGAAAATACAGATACTGAGACATTATCTGCACTTTTGAGAAGAGAGAGAGAGCGAACAAACAGGCGCACACAGAAAATAGTGTGAAATCATGTAGTGGCTGATTCAAATGCTTCTAAGATCCTGGGAATCTTTTCAAATCCAGTGGACTTTGGAGCCTAAGCTCAAAAATAGCATTGGCTCCTCTCCCCAACACTGTTTGGGGCTGGATTTTGTGATGAGCAATCCTGCAACAGGAAGAGTTTGGGAAAGGGATTCCTCTAAACATGCAGTACATCCTAACGTCAGTGCGACGGAGCCGTTGCCCCACACTGGAATGGAAAGGGTTATAACAGCCTTGGAAGGGGGCCGAGGCTGGGAGCCAGAGCCCAGCAGGGCTGTAATAAAAGATGGCTGGCCAGAAGAAGCACGCTCACTCTCTCTCGGGAAGGTCAGGGAGGGCCGTGGTAGTAGAGAGTATCTTGGACACAATGTTGGGGGAAGGCTGGGTGAGCCAGGGAATCTCAGGCCTGAATAAACCCCAGGATGAGGCCCAGCAACAGGGGCCTAGGGAGCTATTAAGGCTGCAGGGGAGCAGCCAAGTCAGAAATAGGCCGCAGGTCCAACCCCTCTTGCCAATAAGGTATTTCAGGCTGCAGTTTGCCCCAGAGGCAGGAGCTAGAGGATGACTGCCAGTGGGTCACTGAGGCAAGGTGGGTATAGGGCAGGGGTTCCCAGCCGCCGGTCCGCAGACCCCGGCCTGCTGGGCCGTGGCACATTGCCCGGCCACACTCTCAGCTTTTGATTAGCCCCACCTACAAGGGAATTCCCTTCTGCCCACTTCACCATGCAGCTGCAGGGTGAGTGGGGCAGCAGGCAGCACTGGAGGCACAGTGAGGCTGGTCCTCCTGGGCGAGCCGCAG